CTCTCTCTCTTTCTAATTATGTTTCTCTTTCTCTCCCTCTCCAACTCCTTCATTTACTCTCTCCCTCTATATCTTCCTCCCTATCTCCCTCCTCGCCTCATTTCTCTCTCTCTCTCTCTCTCTTTTTTCTCTCTTCTCCTTCCTTCCTACGTACTTCTCTTCTCTCTTTCTATCTTTTTCTTTTTCTTTCTTTTTTCCACTCCATTTGCTTTCTCTCTCTATCTCTCCTTCCCTTCGTCTGTTTTTTTGTGCATGTTTATATATTATATATATTATATATATATATATATATATATATATATATATATATATATATATATATATATATATATATATATATATATATATATATATATATATATATATATATATATATATATATGTGTGTGTGTGTGTGTGTGTGTGTGTGTGTGTGTGTGTGTGTGTGTATGTATATGTTTTTTTTTATTTATTATGTATATATGTGCTAGGAATAAGTGCCATAATTCCCGGGGAATGTGATCTTCGCTGAATTCTCTTCCCGTATCCAAATTATTCCATTCAATTCACTGTTCATTCGAAGACTATGGATGACGTGTCTTCTTGCAATAGATCAGAATCAGAATCAGAATCAAAACGTTTATTTAGCCATAATACAATAATCACACTGAAGTAAAAAAACAAAAACAAAAAAACATAATGATACATGGCTGGGCCCTCCCGGAGTACAACTCTCTTAGGAAGACCCCTTGTATAGATTACATTTATGCGTTATCTTAATAATAATTATATACAGAACATTTTATATAAACATTAGTTATAAATTACATATATAGGTATTGAATGTAGTATATATTACATAAGTATTTACATACATAAGTTAGCCTATAAGTAATTTACAAAGCTAGTAAACCTTGTAGAAGTATCACACAGTGAAGTAATAAAAGGTTGATTAATAAAGAGAAAGTACAGAGAAATATACATAAGACATAAACGGGGAAAAGAAAGAATAAACACTACACATTACATTGAGATAACAGGTATTGTTTTTAATTTTGTTTGAATGAAGAAATTGTTTGTAATATTTCTTATTCTCTCCGGTAGATTATTCCACAATACCGCACCATGATAAACTATATTTGACTGAGATTGTTGAGACTGTACAAATGGAACATTTAGTAGATTATTGTGTCATAAAATACCTTTGATTTATCCTAAAACTAAACATTGAATTTACTAAGACATTAAGGCTTTTAAAGACATGTAAACAACAACAATATACATTTATTTCACAGACTTTTAAAAGCTTAAGATCAGTAAATCCTTCGTGGGTATGATCGAACTTCTTTAGTCCTAAAATTGTACGAACACTTCGATTTTGTGCTATACACAAGGATTTTAAAGTGTTTTTATGCGTTGCTCCCCAAACTGTTTGGCAGTACGTTAAGTGTGGGTATATTAATGAAGTGTAAATCTGTTTCATTGCATGTTTATTTAGTGCTTGTTTAGAATGGTACATTAAGCCGCATTGCTTATTAATCTTTGACTGAATGTGATTAATATGGCATTTCCAGTTCAGTTGGGGATCTAAATGGATACCAAGAAACCGTTGTTATTTCGCGTTTTAAAATTGATGTTCCCAGGGTGATGTTTGGGAGGACATTTGGCATTCTTTTATTCCTGTGAAATATCATGTAATGGGTCTTGTCAACATTGAGGGTTAGTTTGTTTAGCCAAATCCACTTTCTGATACTGATTAATTCCTCATTTGCTACGTCTATTAATTCTTGTATAGTGATAGGGTGTAGAGACATCTGATTGTCATTTCTTGGGCCGAGAAAATCTCTAAAGTCTCCTTCCTGTGATGGGACTGATTGAGCCAGATTTCTCCCAATGTCAGAGAAATAGTTGTTAAACTCATCTGCTATTTTATCAGGATCGGTAATATCACTTCCATTTATTAAGTATATTGCTCAGAATTTTCCATGTTTTCTTTGGGTCATTTTTGTTTTCATCAAGTCTTTTTGAATAATAATTGCGTTTAGCATCTCTAATATGCAGTTCAGGCGATTTCTAGATGTGCGAAATTGATCGCCATACATTATTGGCCATTTAGCGAATTTTTTTCTGAAGCTTCTTTTTACCTCTAATTAAAACTTTTATTTCATTTGTAATATAAGGTTTGTTGAATGATCTTAATTTCATTGTTTTTGCTTTCAAGGGGAAAAATCTTTCGAAGGAAGGCATGAAAAGGGAGGTAAAGGTATCATAAGCAACATTTGGATTACTTGCCCCTTTTACCAAATCCCAGCAGACATTCATGAGGTGACTTTTATAGCCCAAGATATGACATTCTGCATAGTCTCTGTAATATATAGTTTTTCTGTTTGAAACTTTATAGGGTGAATCAATCTCAAAAGTAGCATAAATAGGGAAATGATCTGAAATGTTACAGTAAAGAATTCCACTATTAACTGCATTTGAAATGTTATTAGTCCATATATGGTCTATGAGAGTAACAGATTTTTCCATGACTCTTGTTGGATTTATGATTGTGGTGAAAAGCAATTTAGAATTCAGAATAGATATGAACTCTTGAACTTTGCTATCTGACTGCCATTTCAGAAGATCCAGATTAAAATCCCCAGTAAGAATGCAAAACTTATTCTCTTGTGTGATTACATCAATGATTGCTTGAATTTTATCAGTAAATAAATTAATATTACTTTTAGGGCGTCTATATAACTACCCTATCAGTATGGAAGAAGTATTGGTTTTAATTTCAGCATAGAATGATTGCAGGTATTCTTCTTGAACTGATAAATCTGGTCTGAAATGGGAGGAGTAGCTCCTTCTGACATAGAGGGCAATGCCACCACTGTGTTGGGATCTGTTGAAATATGCATAATTTTCTATTTTGTGCATCGGTTAATTTAGTTACAGAAAATCCAATAATGTCATAAATACTGTTATTTGAACATAGGCACTGGTCAATAAATTCATTTAAATGTTTGGGAATGCTACAAATGTAATGGCTTACGACTGAAAGCTGAGTACTCGTTTCATGTGACTTTTTAAACTGGAAGTCACCAGGGAACACATACGAGCACTCTGGTTCTGACAGACCAAGGTGGTTTTGCATGAAGCCATCAGGGTCATGGTCACTCTGGTGCCCGTGATTAGCGGGGTGTAAAATTTGAAAAGATTCTACTTTTTAGGAATCTTACAGTAAGTGGAGAAATGTTATCTGAACTATTGAGCAAATATAAAAAATCATCATTATCTAAATCAGCAAAAGGAAAACTTGATATAAAAGAGTCCATTATGAATGGTGAAGGAAGATCGGACAAGGACGCACGTGAGGAACGAGACTGAAGCGGGGCAGGCAGCTGCAGAGAACTGAAGGCATTTCCAGGCGGGGGCATGGGGAGACGGAGTCAGGCTGGCTACGTGGGTGCAAGCGCTCAGTCACGACTAGTTTTCTGTAGTTGAAATAGGCATGTTTTCCCTCGCTCCTCGCCTGCTTTAGCTGCTCCATCTGGTCTTTCCGTGCCTTGATGGCGCCGGCACAGAAGTCTTCATGGACAAAAACTCTAACAGGTGCATTCTTAGTTTGCTTTTTTCTTAAAAACTGCATCACGGTCCCCGAACCTCGCGAACTTGGCCACGATGTCCCTAGGCTTGTCATGAGATGGCTTCCCCACTCGATGAGCTCGCTCTATCAGTGGGGCGAGGTTCAGGTGCTGCTGCAGGAGGTTACCGAGTTTCTGCTGACACTGCTGCCAGGTTTCGTTGCGCTCCTCTGGGATGCCAGAGAAACGCAGGTTGTTTCGGCGTCCCTGATCGTCTTGATAGTCTGAGCGCTCCTCTAATCTCGTCAAGTCTCTTCGTAGGTATCGGTTTTCCTTCGCGAGGGCTTCCATTCGGGTCTGCAGCTCGTCGCTCGCTCGCCTCGCGTCGGCCTCTCGCGCTTTGAGCTCCGTAATATCTGCATGTGCGAACTCGAGGCTGCGAATTGCCTCTCCAAGACGAGTGTTTAGGCTTTTATTCTGGTGAGACATTTCACGGTGTAATCGCTCGATTGCCTCGCCGAACAGCTTGCTCTGAAGGTCGATGAGATCGGTGATTTCGGAGCGGCACGGGTGCGCCGCGTTCGTGGGTGGCGAGGGGCGGTTCGGAGCCATGGTTCGCTTAGAGTGTAGTAGACAATCTAGAAGATCTCGGCAGGGTCTGCAAGTCTGTGACAGGGTTTGTAAGAGTCACTGTGGGTGCTGAAGGAGGCGCAGCGAGCACGGATGACGGCGCGGCAGATTAGAGGTGCTCCCCAGGCAGTGCAAGGGCAGAAGATGGGTACGGAGAGTGGTAGGGGGAGGGGGTTACCAAGAAAGCAGATGCGCTTGTTTGGTGGTTAGCTTGTCAATCAAGACAGTCATATCAGGTCACACTCAGTGCGCATGCACAAGATTTGAAAGCAGGTTAGATGGGAGGGTTGAGCCTAGGGGTTTTTGATTTTGCACTGCCAAAAACACTAAGTCCAAAATACTTCTTGGCTCAACATATATCAGCGCCTTCACTGTATATTCACTGTTCCAATTGGAAATCTCGGAGTGACCTTTATCTATTAAAAAACGTCCAAGAAATACAGAGCACTTAGCATAAGTGACGCACTCTAGATAGTTCCATTGAGCACTGTTTGATATGTGAGATAAACTTCTCAAACAATTTAAGAGATTTTTCTCTTTGCTGATGGCTAAAATTTCATATCGATTCCTGGGATGGTGCTTGGCATAGCCGGTGTACTAGTGGTGAGGATGGAGTTCCAGTGCCCATCAATTGCTTGGATCTCACACTCATCCCAAATCAGTGAGAAATTTCTTGTTGAAATTCATTTGAACGACTCCCAATTTGTTTGTTTGTGCCGTTATGGCCGTCTTTCTTCGCTCAGTGTTGATGTGGAAACATTTATGAGGCTACGACTGAATAAAAGGATTGATACCTGTTCTCATATTTCCTTGCAGACCGGCAGCCGCTCCGTCAGTGTCCACCTCCGAAATGGCTCCGTCCCAGTCCAGGCTGACCTCCGCCTTGTACGAGATGACCACTCATACGAGCAAGAAGGTGCTCCAGCTCGTGCTGGAGTGGGGCACTCCCAGGAGGGATGTTGGCAAGACTTTCTACGAGTACCTCTTGCAGGTGAAGAGGATATCCATGACATCATTACGGAAGAAGTTCAACCACAGTCAAAGAAAAAAGATGGAGAAGAGTGGTGACATTGGGACATTTGATGTTGTACTCCTAACACAATGTATTATCTATGGCTGTGATGGACTGGCTCCCCCAGAAGATGTCAAATGGCTCACTTCAGTGGACACACTGGAGTGGTATGTGACATCGATAAGGACTAGAAGGAATGAATTCCTGCATGAAGTGTTTGATGTCACTCACACGGAATTTCTTAGGGTGACAGAGGAGCTCAGAGATCTGCTCAACAACGCCCTCGAGAGAGCGGCAGAAATCTACAACATAGGAGATGAATTCCTCCAGGGGATCTTGCAAGATATAAACACAGAGATCAACAGTCTTAGAAACAATCCCTCACAGGCAACAGATTCTCATGCATTAGTCCTCGAAAGACTGCACCAGATGGTGAAAGTCGAAGGGAAACGAGAGCTGAAGAAGATTTACAGAGAGGAGTCCAGTTTTGGACCAGCTTCGAATTTGCTTGGGAAATCGAAGGTGCATGTGGACAAGGTCTTCACCGCGATGGAAATCAAGCAGGAGGGTTCACAAACACACGAGTTCATTCAGTATAGTGAACTTCTCGCAAAGGCGGAGGAAAGACGAGAACAGGATAGGAAAGCCTGTTCCGTGTTGCTCATTGAAGGGCCTGCAGGTGTTGGCAAGACAACCCTCACAAGAAAGGTGATAAGTGACTGGGCCTCAGGCACTAGCTCCATGGAGACTCTCACTGATTATGATTTTGTGTGTTTAAGTAGGTGCCGAGACGAAATACATTCACTTAGCAACCTGCTAGGCTCATTGATGCCCAAAACTAAAAATAAAGTCCAAAGTGAACATGATATGCTCATGTCCATATCCAATAACAGGCTCATGTTCATTGTGGATGGGCTTGATGAGATAAACTCAGGATCAGATAGAGTGCTGAGAGAAATCATGGGGATGAGCAGAACCGATGACATCACTGTTCTCTGCACAACACGACCCAACAAGGTACATGACTTCAAGAGATATGTGCCGGACAACTTTGACATTATGCATGTCAAAGTTTTGGGCATAGAAGAGAACAAACGTGAAGAGTTTGTAAGAAATTACAGCTTGGCAGTACAAGACCCAGGCACCATGAACAAAGACATCTCTGTTCTCCTTTGGTATCTGGCAAAGAAAGACAGCCGGATGCAAGCCCACTGGCGGTTCCCCTTCAACTTGGTCCTTGTGACAATATTATGGTACTTTGACCCACAAGCTGTGAACAGTCTGACCACGGCTACGGAACTCTTCACGAAGACACACGAGTTGTGCATAAAAAGATTGCTTCAGAGGCTATCTGACCATGAAGAAATGCGAACTGTCGAGTTTTATGAACTCAGAGATAAAGTTAAGAAGGTTATGAAGAAGCTCTGCAAAGAGGCCTTCTTAGCACTTTCCGAGGATGCTGTAACTTTGTCCAGGCCTTCAGTAGAAAGGCTGAAGGGGGCATGTCGCTCTCTAAGGCTTCCAGCAAATGAGGTCCTTGGAGCCTTCCTGATCCAGGCAACTTCTCTGATGGGTGATGAAGAGAAGTACAGTTTTCCCCACAAGTCCATGCAGAATTTCCTCTCGGCCATGCATGTGAAGGAGATCGTCATGGCAGATGAGGTGGGACTAAATATCCCTGAAATGATAGATGGGATTGAGAACATTTTGAGTCATCAAGAAGTTCCTCAAAATATTAGCAGTTCTCTCATTGATAAATTAAAATTGTTTTTAGTGCATTTCCAACGTGATGCATCTAGGCAATTACCTAGTATCCTGAGCATTCTAGAAGATGCCGCCAATGAAGCTGCCTTGTACACCGGCCAAGAGACAAAGTTGGACTTGGTGAAGTACCAGAATATTCTCATTCATCTCACGGGTTTGCTTCACCTTGAAGGAAAGACATTGTCAAAGACAAGAGCCAGGGAGCTTGTGGAATTACTCAAGGCCACTGGTATTCAGGATACATCTCAGTGGCTGGACTTGCTCTCCGAGGTCAAGTGCAACGGCACAGTAATAGAATTACTCGCCGAGGCTATGGATCTCATCGGAATTATATGGTTAACCGATGGGCTTTTAGCTGGCTTCCTGTGTGTTCTGAGCCATGCATGTCCATCACCCTTGATCCTGGACATCAGCGGCGACCCTGAGGACATCCCATGTCTGAGTGATCTCCTAAGGGCAACGAAAGACAAGACGTGGAGGGTGTGGCTACGGCTCCACTACGACTTCCGACACCCGAGAGCCGGCGGCAGCGTCCTCGAGGAAGCGCTTCAGCAAGTTTTCCGAAGGTAATGTTGACCTTACTTGACTTTTGAGACCTGAGTGAAGTTTCTACATTTACAATTTATGTTTTTTTTTATTTATCTATTATTTATCTTCATCTATCTATTATTTATTATTCATTATAATTGCATCGTTTGTTATTCATTTATTTGTTATGTGTTATTTTTATCTACTTTTTATTTCTTATCTATTCATTGTTTCTTACTTATTCATTAATTCATTACTATATATAATTTATTATTTACTATTCATTATTTATCATTTACTAATCATTATTTAACTATTCATCGCATTTTATTTATTATATTATTAAATTATACATATAATACATATACTATATATATATATATATATATATATATATATATATATATATATATATATATATATATATATATATATATATATATATATATATATATATATATATATATATATATATATATATATACATATATATATATATATATATATATATATAATATATATATATATATATATATATATATATTATTTACATACACACATATATATTATGTATATATACATACACATATATGTATATATACCCATATATATGTATATATATATGCATATGTGTGTATGTGTAAATATTCAAATACATTTAGTTAATTCTTTAGAAATTTTCGGTAGAGATCCCCCGACGACCTTCGGCTAACTCGGATACCATCCCCCCCTCACCGAATTTCTGGATCCGCCAGTCATTAACTTTTCTTTTCTCTCCCCTTTGGCACAGATATTGGTCCACTTTCTATAAATCTCAGGTATTACATCTACTGTAAACAATAAGAAGTAATTATAGTATTGATAAAAAAATAGCAAGATGTATGGCGGGTGTACCAGTGCACGTGCGCTTGCTTCATGCAGAAGAGAAAGAAGTAATGTTCGTTTCTCTTCAAGCCTCCCTCTTCCTTTATTTTCCTAGAACAAAACTACCAACACTAATGCTGCTCCTGGGAATGATTTTTTCCCCCATGGTAGTCGTTTATCTAAAATAATAATTGTAAAAGTAGACTCATCTTTTGAGGATGGCCCACATCACACCATGGGTAGAATAATATTCCGTTGAGTTTCCATGAAAGTTAAATTCAACCTGCAAACAATATTGCAAGAACAAATGACATCAACACAGGAATTTGAAGTCAGTGAGAACACAGAAATAATTATTTAATTGAGAAGCCGAAACTTTGGAGACTTGTTCACAAAAATAATGACTAAACTTCTCACACACAGGTAATCAGTAAACAATGTCTTCTGAGAAAATCTGCAGTATTAATCCACAATCACAGTTTCAAATACAATACCAGTTCACTTACAACCTGGCACTTTGCCCCTGAATGATGATATCCAAGCAATACAACAAATCTTACCGAAAGTCAGCTTATCCCAGGCATGGCAGTTATCAGGCTTTACAAAAACCAATACAATACAATGCATCTTTCTTTGGAAAATGGAACACCTAGAGTTGAATATCCCCAACACCGACATTTAAATTTCCTTAATATACAATGAATCACTGCCCCGTACTACCAAAATATAGAGTTTTATCAATAATCAACTCAAGAAATAAAATACATTAAAACAATTTTCCTACCTCATATCTCTAAATACAAATTTGACAAATACAGAGGCAGCCTTCACGTGTTCTGCTCATTTCAATTTGTAAATAACACGAGGCAAAAGAAACTTAATTCGCAACGTCTTCCATAACTAAATAATGTATTTTCATTAGAACTTAAATTCGATAATTCATCCTTTACAACTTAGCATCAAAATTACAAAATTAGGTACTTCTTGTGTCAATAATTTTCAAAATTAATACATATTTCTATATTTCTAATATACACAAAAATAACACAGATTGCAATATTATTTACAATGATGCACATATATATGATTCACTATTATTTCCAAAATAATACAATAATGATAGTAATAATAATGAATAATAATAAAAAGAGAGTGGAGGGTGTGGGAAGGAGAGAGTGACAAATTTTTTTTTGTTTCTCTGGATTCGATTTTTCTTGCTATTAATATCTCTGCTTTCGGAGATGCAATACCAGACTTATATATACTAACTGCAGATCCAACATGATTGCCATCGGTGCTTCCTCTTGCGAGTCACAATGGGTGATTTTGTCCATAGGTAATTTTAGAGCATATCGATCTCATTCGTTTGCAATTTGCTCGCAAGGGCGCCATGTTGCTTGTGGAATTGTAGCCCAGATTCTACTCTTTCGAGTGATATAGGTTGCAATGGATGGCTGTTACAGAGAGGGAGCAAAGGGTGCAATAGTTTAGGTGTAAGGAGAGAAATGTTGATATTCGAGATGATATAAGGGAGGGGTGGATGTGTCGCAGTTAGCTCAGTTATAGATGTCAGACTCTTGTAGAATTATGTTCAACTCTATAGACTGCTCCGCCAAGCTTCACTTTTTTTCATCATGACCAAATATGTCTTTTTATTTGTGGTAGTGTCGTGGTCCGATTCAGGTCAAGGGAAATTGGCCAAAAGGGGAACTTAATAATTGGGGCTCACAAACAAATTAACTTAATCCTTTATGGTGCATGCTTTTTACTGCATAATATTAGCATAAGTATACAAAACTGTACATCTTCATACACGTGGATGAGTATACATATGTAAGTGTGTGTGTGTGTGTGTGTGTGTGTGTGTGTGTGTGTGTGTGTGTGTGTGTGTGTGTGTGAGTGAGTGCGTGTAAGTGCATGTGTGAATGCGTGTATGTGTGTGTGTATATATGAGTGCATATGCATTTGTGTGTATGTGTGAGTACGTGTGCATGTACGTGTGAGTGGGAGTCGTGTGTGTGTGTGTGTACATGTATGTGTGAGTAAGTGCATGTATGTATGTGTGACTGCGTGTATGTGTGTGTACGTGTTTGTGTGTGTGTGAATGAGGGTAACTATGTGAGGGCTTGATCCTGTAGACTTATGTGCGGCCATGTGGATATTCATAAAAATCTCTTTGCACATTTATACAAACAGCAATGAAATATTAAAAATAATCATCAACTCTCACTTAAAATTAACTTTGTTTTAGGCAAGTTACACACGTTTGAGCCATTACCACTGTAATCTCATATTCCTCCTCATAGATTCCTTCTTTTTGTGATATAACACTTACATTATTGAAAATAAACAAAGATAAAGAAGGTAAAACCGAAAAATATAAAGGGAGAGCTCTAGTGTTTTACTGGGAGAGTGACAGTGTACATATACAACAACAAATATAATTATATTTACCTTTTAATAACGGCTCACAGGTCACTGGTGGAATCCGCTGACGTAGGGATGACCGTTACAAAGGCCAAAAATAACATATGATGCACAAAAATAAAAAAGGCCACAGCGTGTTGTTCCCTCGAGCCCCAGCCTGTTCTCTCTCTGTCTCAGTTGTGTCTCTGGCGGGGCTTCCCTCAGGTGCGCATCGTCACTGCGGCAATTAAGAATCACCCAATTTCATAGCCCTTCTTATGGACGGGTACTTGTGCCTTGCTTCAGAATGTTCAATGTGCTTATTTCAAAGTTTTTTTTTCTGCAACTTGTAAGGCAGTTTCTGGATTCATTGTAATGGTCTGCGCAAGTGTTTTGTCTGCGCCTGGTTCATTCAGTTTCACGCAGTTCTGATGTCTCACTTCCTACTTTTCAGTGAATCTACGACCACAATTGCTCGTGCGTGCATTATTGGTTGTAAGAAAATGATTTCAATATTTCGTGCTGTGAAGACTTTCCACCCTAAAGAACTTCAAAACTGAGTCCTCAAAGTAGGGGAAGAGGGGAAGAAAGAATAGGGGAGAAATGGAAGAAGAGATAGGGAAAGAAAAGGTTAGGGGGAGTAGTGGAAGGGGAAAGGTGGGAGGAGAAAAGGCAGGGGGATAGAGGGAGACAGGGGAAGGGGAAGCGGGTAGAGCTTGTAGTGAGCAGAAGCCCTCTATGTGGAGTATGGAAAATATGTTTTTCGGACAACCACGTGGTTGTCCGCACAGCCACGTTATTCGCACAACTGAGGGTTTCGAAACTGTAGGGGAGACACGCTTCGCCAGCAGGAAGAGTCGGGCGAGGCTCGGCTAAAAGAAGAGAGGAGAGAGTAATTGATGCAGCTGCCCCAAGTGCAGCCAAACGGCACAAGTGCAGGTTATGTTTTTAGTTTATTATTATTATTATTTTTTTTTTTACTTTCGGCTTCAGGTGTAATGTTACATGCGAATGTGTGAACTTTTTGTACATTTATTTATTGTGCTAATTTTATGACTTAAATAATGTTGCCATATAGTATAATGGGTCAGTAGGAAAGGTGATAAGGTAGGGGAGAGGGGTGTAAGGGGGAGATAGGAGTAAAGAAGGGGCAGTGTGCCGTTCTTTCGCATTTTGACCCCTAAAGACCAATGGCATATTACTCTGTTTTAAACAATTCGTATAGTTCCACCACTCAATGCTGAGGATTGACTGTGTCCTTCGTGTACAGAAATATAATACAAGTGTTCAGAAATATGATTCCGCAACTGTACCAGCAACTTCAACGGTTTGTACTCTGCAGGAATATCATCTTCAGTGTCCCCTTCTTAATTCTGGTATACACGCAATTGCGTGTATACCAGAAAGATTAACCGCGAGGAGGGAAGGGCAGTGTTAGAGGGAGGAGGGTAAGGGCAATGGGGAGGCGAAGAAAGGAAGAAGAGGGGTGGGAGCAGGTAAGAAGTAGAAGGGGCAAAGAAGAAAGTGCAAAGGGCAGGGGAGGGAGAGGAGGAGAAGGAGGGAGACGGCCGGGGGAGGGGGTCAAGGGGCAGAAGAATAAGGAATGAAGGGCAGGGGAAGAGAAAGGGCATGAAGCAGTGAGAGGAGGAGATGGAGAAATGGCAAGGAAGAAAGTGGAGAGAGGAAGGACCAGGGGGAGGGAAAGTGAAAGGAGCATGGGGAAAGGGGTAGTGGTATTGGGAAGGAGGTGGAGGAGGGAGAGGGGGAA